TCAAAGGAGCGTTGCTTAAAGTTATACGTACAATCACTATCGATTACGTGAAACAAATCACAATCACTAGAACAATAATAACACTTTGATACTCAAGTGCCAAACACTATCTTAACCTCTCCATATATTATTAATTCATTTAATCCTTTCAAGTATCCTCGGAGGACACATACTATAATTATCCCCATTTTCCAATGAGGAAACTGAGGCATGGAAAACAGCTTGCCCACAATCTCAGAGCTAATATACAGCCAAGTCATACTCACACAAAGGCAAGCTGGTGCTCTTAACTGTTATTACACTGTTCCACCTAATCCGGCAAAGATTAGGGGTTCATGAAAAGGAACTCAGAACATCTAAGGGTACCAAAAGGATAAGATTTTACTTCGCAATTAGAAAAAAGAATGTAACTGATCAACACGTTATAAAATGTACCACTCTGCCAGATACAAGGGCAACAGAAACAGCTATTGTTACTACAGGCATATCCCTAGTTAGAAAACATGATGACACCATTCGAAATGGTATGCTTTTACTGGCTTTAACCTAATATATGTAAAAACGTCAAATTCAAATATGAGTCCTTTTTTTCTTAAGAGCTTTTTGCCTTAGAGTGTGTGCACTCACTGGAGAGATGGCGAGAGGTAAAGTGAGAAATCATCCCTCAAGGGGGATGGCCACACTGTAATCCCTTCTCCTCCATTTTCCAGAATCTTGGGTATTCACGTACATATGTCTGGCATGATTTTCAAGCCACTGGATCCAGGACTCGATCTGCAACCAACCATGTGGGAGTCCAGTGACATAACTGCTACACCATCTGCTGGCCCCTAAATATGAGTCTTAATTTTGCTATACCCAACAGAAATCTCCACCAATTTGGAATATGTATCTGGAAATTAGCTAATGCAGCAAAATACTGAAGTTACATGATGCATAAACTTCGTGTTCTAGAACCTGTAACGAATAATGCTACCACTACCCAGGTTTAACCATTAATCAGAGGGCATCAATATCCATGTAGTCATAATTAGAGAAACACTCTGACGTATGGGTTTCCCATTAGCATCTTGTCAGTTCAGATCACTGAGTCAAATTCTACGGTACTATTCCTGACAGTTATGTTCCACAAATCCAGGACCACTGCAATATTACTAATGGAGCTACAATTTAAAGGCATCAAACTATAACAACCAATTCAGTTAGCATTTATTAAACACCCTGTATGTGCCAGGCACTGTGCTAAACTAAGTATGCAGTATCTCTTTAATCATCAAACAGATAAAAAAGTAGCACAGGTCTTCACATTTATTTTTAAATAATTATTTTATTTAGTGGTTGGCAGGTGGCATGGTAGTTAAGGGTGCTGCACTCCCACATGGCCAAGTCCCAGACCTGGCGGCTTGCCTTCTTACTTCCTCTCTCTCTCTCTCTCACTCTTCCCCTCTCTGGTCAAATTAAAATAAATAAATAAATATAAAGTTTGATAAAATAATTAAACTGATTTAACCTTAACCACCATGCCATATGCCTGTCCCAAGGTCTTCACATTTTATGGTTGAAGGAAGGGAAAGTTTAAGAAGTTAAGAAACTCTATCTTAAGTCACACAGCTATCAAATAGCAGATATAAATCAAACCCAGGAAGTTGCCTCCAGAGCTTCTAATTTTTTTTTTTAATTTGTTTTTAAAGAATTATTTAATTTTATCTATATATTATTTTAAAGAATTATTTAATTTTATTTATATATTATTATTATTAAATTTGACCAGAGAGAGAGAGAAAGAGAAACAAAGAGAGAAAGCAAGCTTCCAGGCTCAGAACTTGAACTGTGATCAGTCATGTGGGAGTCCAGTGCCCTAATCACCATGCCACATGACAGCCCTGTTTGTTTGTTTTAACTTTTTTTTTTTGGAGAGGTTTTCACTATAGGGCATGTGCGCTCGCCAGACAGACAGAGACATACAGACAGAAAGCGAGAAATCACCCCCCAGGGGGGATGGTCACACCACAATCCCTTCTCCTCCATTCTCCTCTCGGGATCTTGGGCACACACGCACATGCGCCCGGCGTGGGTTTTAAGCCACGGGGTCCGGGACGCGAACCGTGGTCGACTACATGGGAGTCCAGCGACAGCCATTACGTTAACTGCAGGTTCCCAGCCCTGTTTGTTTTTTTAAGAGAGATTTTTTTACTATAAGGTGCATGCACTCACCAAAGAGACAGAGAGAGACAGAAAGTGAGAAATCACCCCACAAGGGGCATGGCCGCACTGAAATCCCCTCTCTATTCTTCTCTCAGGATTTTGGACATGCACGTACATGTGTGGTGTGAGTTGTAAGCCGCTGGGTCCAGGACTTGAACCACAGTCAACTATGTGGGAGTCCAGAGACATAACCATTAAGCCATTTGCTGGTCCGGAGTCCCTAGGTTTTACACTACTCCACTAGGCTGCTTACACAATTCTACCATGAAATAATCATAGGGTTCCTGCCACTGGAGTAAAGGGATCAATGAAACCTGCACGCAGCTTTCCTGGAAATGCCTAACTGCTACCAGGAATGATGCCACTTGCATCACCCCACACTAGAGGTGAATTAGATGATAAAAGTTGAAATCCGGAAAGTCTATTTACTGTAACTCATAAGCTAGGTAATCAGGACTTTACCAGCTGACCAACGTTATGGCAAAATCAAACAAGAGTACTGGGCTCAGATGTGCTAAAAGAAGGTGAAAAAGTAGAAATGAGAAATTCAGGAATCTGACTATCATAAAATAATTGGTAGAAAGCTAAGATCTCTATAACAGTCAATTGGGCATACTATAAGTACATAGACACAACTAAGACTGAACTAAAAATCAATTCTGATGATGTAGCTGACCAGCTGCAAAAACAAAAACAAAATGTGAGCTAGTAAAAGAACACATGGGCAAGGCTGCACTTTCACCCCAAGCCCAACTGCAAGATAGCCAGGCAAAAGGAGATAGACTCCCTAGACTTTATGTCTAGGATTTGAGCAGATACAGTGTCAAAGGTTCTAGAAGAAGCCTTATCTATGTGCAGTGGAATTTGAATTGACTGTTCCATCCAGTGAGGTCGAGACTCATATTCTAGCAAAGATACCACAGGTCTCACTACTTAATAAAGGGAGGCAGAGTGAGAGTAGAGATGGGAGTACTCTCAGATACTACTGATAGTAATATAAACCGACATAATCCTTTTTTTGCGGGGGAGAGGTTTTTTCACTATAGGATGTGTGCGCTCGCCAGACAGACAGAGACACAGAGACAGAAAGCGAGAAATCACCTCCCCCAGGGAGGATGGTCACGCCACAATCCCTTCTCCTCCATTCTCCTCTCGGGATCTTGGGCATGTACACACACACGCCCGGCGTGAGTTTTAAGCCACCGGATCCGGGACGCGAACCGCAGTCGACTACGTGGAAGTCCAGCGACATAGCCATTACGCTAACTGCTGGTTCCCACATAACCCTTCAAAGGACAACTAAGCAATACATATCAAAAGATTTTTTTAAAGCATACGTACATTGGGGCTGGCCAAGCGGCATGGTGTTTAAGGTGGCTGGATCCCACACTGCCAACTACATGGTTCGAATCCTGGACACAATGGCTTGAAAATCATGCCAGACACAAGTGTGCACACCCAAAATCCCAAGAAGAGAATGGAAGAGAAGGGATTTATTTTTATTTTTTCTATACTTGTATTACATGTGTAATATAACAAGTACATAAGCTGGCTGTGCAAAAACTTTTTTTATAAATTTGTTCAAAATGTAATTAACTATTAATCAATAAATATAAATAACTGAGACTAGATTCTATCGGAACTTCATAGCTAAGAAGTGCCAAACTGAAGGTAAAAAAAAACTCAAAAACAAGGCTGGAGATAAAAATCTACCACTTTTGAAATTTGCCCATCTAACTTGGGGACTATTTACTGCTATGGTATGCATTCAATGTTTTTGTTGCATAAATAATCCTGCTTACATCTAGTCAAGCACTGTGTTTAAAAAAAAAAAAAAGCCTGCTGTACTATATTTGTAATTTTTTAAAACTGCCAAGTTGAATCTTTTAAAAATTTTAAAAAGAATTATTTAATTTTATCTAGCATTATTATCTTTTCATCTACTATAGGACACGTGCACAAGAGAGTCGGAAAGCAATCCACCAGGTCCGGGATTGGAATTGCAGTCAGCCATGTGAGAGTTCAGCATCTTAACCACTATACCATCTGCTAGCCCTGCCGAGGTCAGTTTTTAAAAATGAAGTTATCTGAAGCCAGCTGGGTGGTGTGGTGGTTAAAGCAGCTGGATTCCAAATAGCTGATTGTGAGGTTTAATTCCTGGACACAGTAACTTGAAAAACACGCTGGGTGTGTGTTTGTATGTGCATGTGTGCCCAAAATCCCAAGAGGAGAATTGAAGGGGCTGCAGTGTGGTCAACCCCCCTAAGGAGTGCTTTCTTATTTTTCCTCTTTTTTAAATCTCTGTCTCTCTCCAATGACCACACATGCCTTATAGCAAATTAAAAAAATAAAAAAAGGAAAATAATTTTATATGTGATATCAAGAAAAAACAAATATTAATTTTTTAAGAACTATTTTAACTTTATTATTATTATTATTATATTCCAATTTGACCAAAGAGAGAGAGGGAAAGTGAGAAAGGAAGCCACCAGGTCCGGAAATTAAACCATGGATGGCCATGAGGGAGTCCAGCGCCCCTAAGCACCACGCCACCTGCCAGCCTCCCAATATTACATTTTTATCTAAACCATGTTCTATGCCATCTATAAACTATTTTCACTAGACCTTATTTTCAAAAAAAATTTTTAATAAAAGGTTTATCCCTGTTTGCATCTTTAGTTTCAATTTATCAAATCACCATTCAAAGGCAAGAAAGGTGGTACTGAAAAAGTCTGGGCTGTGAAGAACAAGCTGGTTTGAATCTAGACCACCTTCTAGTTGTGTGACTCACTTACCCTCTCTGAGCTGTATTTTCCATACCTATGCAATAGGAATAAGAGCTGTTGGAAACTTAAAGCCATTTAACATAATACTGAATGCAGAGCAATACTCAAATTTCACTTGTTTTCTTTCCTCAAGAAACAATTTTTTAAATATACTGAGGAGTCATTTTGGCACATGAGACAATTGGTTGGTTATCTGGATATGGTGGGGATCTGTGAACTTTTCAAGTACAGTATTAAGGCAAACGGCAAATATCAGGGTAGAAGGGGAAATAGAAATAAAGAAGGCATGTACTATTTTATGCTATTTTCTGCAGGCTGTCATGCGTTCACATCTCCCTGCTCAAGCCAAGTTCCCCACTCGAGGTCTGTCTGGTCAAGCCTCGCCTGTCACTGTATTTATTAGCCTTTCCTGTCACCAGTCACTTGCATTGCCCAGTCGGAAGTAAAGGATATGCCCCCCAAAAGAGGAGGGGAGAACAAACTATTCACAATATATGCTCTTGGTGACTTCTTTTCCCTTTCCTCTCTACCCTTCATCATTTCTGTCTAGATATAGCAAGCACCTTTCCTAGAAACAGTGACCCCATGAATAAGAATGATCTGGTACAAAAATTTAACTTAAACTATCGAATTATAAGCTCCAAGATTCTAGAATGGTGCAAATGTCTTACTTGCTTCAATGTTTGCTTTGAACATTCACATTTCATCAAGTAAAGAACCTTTGGGATTTTATCTTAAAATCACTTAAGGACACAATCAAAAGGTTTGAATATCAAACAAAGTCACCTATCCATAACATATCCTGTTCACACTTGAAGTGGCCCAGAAACTCAACATAAACAAAATCCTTCTGTTTACTTCTAGGAGAGAATACTGAGGTTTTCTGTATCCAACACTATGCCTTTACATACCCAAGGCAATTATGTTTTCTTCCTCTGCTCAATCAGAGCATCTGTTGCTAACACAACACTGAAGTCCGAGTCATTTTCACAGACAAGAAACCAGCTGGCCGGGCTAATCTATTTGTTGACTAACCACCATCAAGCTTCTGTAAGACTGTCCGGTTAACTTAACCGCTGCGTGAGTCAGAACTACAAGGATTTAACAACTCTTCTTTGACACCACCCTTTGAAATCATTTCTAATAGTTACAAAAGCAGAAAATATGTTTTAAAGGTAAAAATGTGTAGATAAGATTAGAAAAGTAGTTATACAAATTACAAACAAAAAGAGAAAGTTATTTTGATGTCGGGATTATGAAATTAATAGAAAAAGTTAATAGACAGTAAGTACATGCTAGGTACTGTTAACTTTTTTTTTAATTAATGCAATTCTCACAATAACTGAGGTAAGTACAATTTTATCTCTATTTTATAGATTCTTTTTAAAAAAGGAGACACAGGGCAAACAACCCAATATAATACAGCTCTACAGCTCATTAATAGGAGAAATGGATTATCTGGCACCAAAGTCATCCTCTTAAAATTTTAAATGAAAAGTCTTAATCACAATGCCTTACAAATAAGTATATTTTGGGGCCATCCTCACCCTTTGTCACTTGCAATATCTACTTTCCTTATATTCACTGAGGTATCTATCATCCCTGATACTATAATATTTTCAGTATAATTTTTTTTTTTTTTAAAAAAAGGATTTTGTCATAGGGCACACGCTCTCACAGAGAGAAGAAAAGTGAGAAACCATCCCCTGGGGGGATGGCCATGCCACAATCCCTTCTCCTCTAATCTCTTCTTAGGATTTAGGACTTTAGACATGCACACACATGTACCCAGTGTGATTTTCAAGCCACTGGATCCGAGTCATTGAACTGCAGTCGGCCGTGTGGGAGTCCAGAACCTTAACCACCATGCCACCTGCTGGCACCTTCAATGTAATGTTCTTAATAAGAAATCATCTCCAAAAATCATGCCTAGAGTGTATTACTTACTATTTAAAGAAAAAGTATCAAGTTTAGTTCATTACTATTTGAGAAAGATAACTGATTCCACAGTAATTCATATAAGAAAAGGAAGCTCAAATTCAGAGCACTAACGTGGTTATAAGTGTTAACAACAAATACCATTTTAAGCTATAAAACAAAATATTTATTAAAAAGATTTAATAATTGACTCCCAAAGTTACCACAAGTAATATATATGTGTACAAAAGGAACAGCTATTTCTCACTACCTCTCCCATATGGTTCAATATAGGTACTCAAATACAATATTTGGGATGAGGCTAAATAAATTAAAAGCTTTACAGCCAGGAGGATGGTTGGAATCAACCTGCAACTTGGTGTGTCTGTGTGTGTGCGCATGCACACACTAGAGGGCACATGTGCTCACCAGACACACAGAGAGAGAGGGAAAAGAGAAAGCAGTCCACTGGGAATGGTCACACAGCAATCCCTTCGCCTCCATCCTAGATTTTGGGCAGGCATGAACACATGCAAACACGCCAATGTGTTTCTAGGGCACAGATCAGGTACTCAGACAGCAGGTGACCATATGGGATCCAGTTTTCTACCCGTGAGGTCACCAGTCAGCCCAATAATCTCCAACTCTTGATTTCTTATTAAAGTGAGGGATAATGCAAGCTCTGACAAAATCAAGATGATCCATATTGAAACACTTTTTCAATATTTTACAGCACGTGAAATATTTTGGTACACTATAAACTTTTTTAAAAATTATGTGTTTTAAGGCTATAAAAGCTAGCTTTTTTCTTTTTTAAATTATTTAATTTTATTTATTTAAATTTTGCTATAAGGCATGTGTGCTCCCAAAAGAGAGCAGAAAGAGAGAACATTAGAAAACAAATTGCTAGGTCTGGGACTTGAACCACAGTACGCCATGTGGGAAGTCCAGTGCCTTAAACACGACAACTGCTGGCCCCAAAACTAGCTTTTTCAATTAAGGGAAAAATATATTTGAAGAACATAGCCAGTGTCTTGAATACAGTTAGAAGTGTGGGACCAGCAGTTGGTGTAATGGCTATGTGACTGGACTCCTATGTAGTCGACAAGGTTCGAGTCCCAGACCTGGTGGCTTAAACTCACACCAGGTATGTGCACATGCATGCCCAAAATCATGAGAGGAGAATGGAGGAGAAGGGATTGTGGTGTGGCCATTCCCCGGTGGGGTGATTTCTCATTTTCTGTCTCTCTGGCAAGTATCTGCCCTATAGCAAAAAAAAACTTCTAAAAAAAAAAAAAAAAAAGTGAGCTATTAGTAGTAAGTCATAATCCCAACATAAAAATCAACTACCTTGTTCTCTTTGTTACACTGTAGTGTAACTGAAAAATAGTATAGCATATTCTTTATTATTAATGCATTATTTTATCAAATTTTTACAACAGCATCCTGGAATCTAAGTCTGGATTTCAAGTCTCTACTCTTCTATTTGATCTCTGCTCAGGTCTGTTCAAATATCATATGACTTTTATCTAAAAAATTAAATAAACTAGGGCCAGCAGGCGTGGTGGTTAAGGCACTGGACATTCCCACATGGCCAACCATGGTTCTAGTCCCAGACCTGGTGGCTTGCTTTCTCACTTTCTCCCTCTCTCTCTCTCTCTCTGGTAAATTAAAATAAATGAATGAATAAATAAAATTAAATCTTTTAAAAAAATTAAATAAACTGTGAAATGTTTCACAAATTCAGGCAGAAGTATTTTAAATAGATACACATTCAAAACCCAAAATATATTTCTGAAATCATATTAATAGTCATGAAAATTAGAAAATAAGTATACCCAACTGCATTCTGAGATGCACGTACACATGAAATCCTGTGCACTCCGGTTAAGCATTGTAATAGCCAACAGTTAACACATCACTGCTATTCCCTCGTGCCCTCAATGCTCCTCATCCTCAAGGAGATGAACTCTGGCAAAATCACAGAAAATGTTATTCTAAGTCTTTCTGGTGCTTTTTGCCTAGTAATGGACAAGAATGGCCTCTTGGATATGCCCTGTTTTTCCCTGCTACATTATTAATAACACTTGTTTTTCTTTCCTGTGCTGTACTATTTTTCAATTATGCTATTATTGCACAAAGAGAACAGTGTGGTTGATTTGTATACCGCGATTATGACTTCATACTAATAATTCACTTATAAATATCTTTAAGACATTGGTTATGATTTTTAAATATCTTTTCTCCTTAATGGAAAAGGCTAGTTCTCGTATCATTTCTTTAACTTGTTCGGAAAGTATAAAACATTCCCCAACCATAACTAGGTAACTGGGACCAGCAACACTAACAGATCGATCAGAGGGTGGGACGACTGCCCTGACAACCTTGCGTCCTTCTCAATTCAACAAACACTTAAGACCTGCTCGAGAACAAGTCGTGGGAAGGGGTAAGGGAGGCGGTACAAAGGCGGTTCGGTTCCCGACCTAGAGAGCACCTATTGTACTACGATGCCAGACCCAGTCCGGAGGGGCACCTGCTTGGTGTCAGCAGAACGACCCCTAACAAGGCAGCGCCTAGGTCTCCTCGTCTGCCAGGGCGGGACATACTCAACAGCACGCTGGTCGGCTGCAGGAATCAAAGGGGGCCCAGAACGCCGCGGAAAGTGGCTGATTTAAAATGAGGACGTCACCCTATTTCTTCCGACGAGCAGAGCCCAGGACAAAGTCCAGGGCAGAGGTCAGCCGGGGTCACTGGGCGCGGTCCGCACACCCTTGCGGGCGTCGCATCGCTCTGGGCCGGCAGGAAGGCCAGGCGGCCAGGCCCCCAGCCGCAGCAGCGCG